AAACTTCTAAACTAAAAAATTTTCTTTTTTACGATCTCTATTAGGGCTTCGTTGGATGTTGCTCAACTATGTTTATGGTATAAAAAATAAACAATTATCAGTCGAGCACTAAATCTATTTCTCCTTTCTTAAACATTTGGATTGATACTTCTTTCTTCTTATTCTAGGGTTTAGAGTTTCTCTGTGTTTTCATGTTTGTCTCTCTCTCTGTTTAGGCCCCTTCATTTTCTCAATTGATTTCCGTTCAGTTTTGGAAGACTATGCTTTTGATTTCGAGTATTTTGATTAATTTAAGAGATTTAGTTACATTCAAGGGTGTAATTTCTCATAGAATTTTCTTGTTATTTGTTTTCTTTGTAGAATTTATTTCACTTCTTTGTCTCCGACCTTTGGAGCTTAGGCTCTGTTTCCAATTTTGTGGGCATCGTTTTCCCTATGTTTGTTTCGATTTATCAACATATCATCCTTACTGATCGAAGTTCCAAAGTTGTGCTTTTAGCAAATTTAAACACTTTCTTTCTCTTAATTGGTCAAATGTGTCATCTTTCTCGCTTTCTTTCTCTGCTACTCAAAGTGAAGTTGTCATATTATAGAAGAATAAGAGGATGAACTCGAGTTATTTGAATGAACTACTTCCTCCAATTAGAGGATCAAATTAAAGCTTTATTACTCCTTACCAAACCATTTCATTTAAAAAGACTTCATTCTTTGGTGATATCAATTATTTATTCACATCATACAGACTTATCAATGTATAAATTATTTGATTCGACTATTATTTAGCTATTACAAATGGTAAAGAAAAGACTGTAAATAAGTTTTTTTTTGTTGGCCAAAGGCTTTATGACTCATAAGATCAATATCAATGTATAAATGATGGTTGCACCATATCAATGAGTGTTGGTTTATAATTTATTTGCTGTAAAGCTTTATCCAATAGTTGTTGAGTTGCACTGATTGTTAGTACGTTTTGATAGGTTGTTTAGTATGAAGGGCTGCACAGAATGTAGTTTTCTAGATGTTAAGTATGAATGCTTCAACCTGTCTTTTTAGTTTTATGTATGTTTGTTTCCAAAAGCCTCTTGAAGATAGAAAATTAAAAGATTTATTGGTCATATTTAAAATAACAACTTTTATTATATAATATAATAAAATATATTTTTTTAGTTAGGTCATATTTAAATAAAACATTTCAATACATATGCACTATAAATTATAAATTATAAATTATAAATTATAAATTCTATCTATATATATATACATGCACGTGAATATTTTTCTCTTAATATGAAGATTACAAATCAAAAATATTTTTTCCTTTATATTTAATATATAAAATTATTAAATATTAATCTGAATCTTTTAAACTTTTATTATAATTTAGGTTCGTTTGACGGGTGTTAAAACTCTAATAATATAAAATTAATTAATTCTTTTTTATTCATTAATTATAGATCAATATACTATAGACCTATAATTGAACTCTTGTACCCTATAATAAGTTGTGTTCATGTATGTAATCACTACAATCAAGTCGATTATCAATTCTAAACGAATTATTTGTAACTATCGTTAGATTAAAAGTTTGTTTTACCCTTGTATATATATTTTTCACGGTAAGAACTACTGAATTTCTAATTAACAATTTTTTTACCATTAACTATAAACTAAGTCATACTAATGAGAGGGTGTGCTCTCATTGTTCAAGTTTACAAAATGGTAGACATATTGAATCGGTTGTGAAAGTCATTCTCACCTATACAAATCAAATACAAGTTTCCCGTAAGGAATAGTTCATAACTCACTCAAGATTAAAATCGCGTCACATATTATCATCCCATAAAATACTAATCTTCTCAATCAACACATTTAGAAGAAGAGATTAAATATTTCGTAATTCAATCTTAAATATTTTGTGCTTTTCAAAGCTAATATTCTAATCACAAATATAAAATAGATATTTTGTGCTTTCGACTTCCCCTCAAGGTTTTCTACATCTTGGCTGACACACGGTTTAGTGTTTGGGTCTGATACCATTTGTAATAGTCCAAGCCCACAACTAGCAGATATTGTTCAATTGGCTCGTTATGTATCGTAGTCAACCTCACAGTTTGAAAATGTGTCTACTACGGAGAGGGAGAAGTTTTCACATGCCTATAAGGAATGCTTAGTTTCCCTCTCCAACTAATGTGACTATATTGCACCAAATATTGAGGTCATTGAATGCAAAATTTAGAAGAACCAACTCCATTGTATAACTTCTCTCAAATGACACCTCAACTCAAAGAATTATGTCAAATCAACACATAGTGAAGGACAAAATAGAAATTTAATACAAATTTAATGGCAAAATAGATACGTAAGAATTGTCCCTTTGGAGCCCCTCTTATTATGTAACATAGATTTAATAGTTGGAGAACCATCTACCCGTTTTCCACCTTAATATATTACTATAGGGTCAAATCTCCATTAGTAAGAATATATATATATATATATATATTACTATATGGATAACTACATGAATTCGTTCAACAAAAAAGTAATTGAATAAATTAAAATATCTATTAATAATATAATAACTTTTTAAAATAATAAATATGTTGCATACATTTATATTTTACGACTCTAATAGTAGAGTCACTAAAGGAATATTTCTTAAAGTACTCAAGTCATGTATTATTTTTACGTTTCAGGTAAAAGCAAGACATCCTTACAGGGATGACAGAGGCGATGCATGAAGACCGTGGAGCTGGTGTTAGGGTAGTTGCTTTTCATCTTATTTTATACACAATTTTCACTTGCAACCATAATGACAAATTGAATAATAGCAAAGTCACATGGCCATTTTATTTAGGAAACGTGTGGACTTAGGGCATTACAATACGTGGATTAGTACCATGAAAAGAAGAGCATCACATCAAAACTCATTTTTCTTCACAAGGGAAGAAACAATGGCAAGCGAAGTTGGTGGAAAATTTAGGAGTTTCAACACATTGAGACGTTGAATTTGGGTAAACGTCTAGGCACTTTTGGTGACATCCAGTGATGTCGCATGCATATTCGAACATCTTCACATCACATTGCTTTGCGTGGGTTGCTAGAGGCACCATTGAACCAGCTACACAAATTTTCAAAGTTATACATGCTTTAATACCCATTCAGGCTTACAACACAAAACTTAAAGGCATCTAAACAACCATACATACCTGAGAGAACCAGGACAAAAACGAAGTGGGAGAAAGAGAAGTTCGCCATCTCCTAAAATACCAGTGTTATAATATACTAAATTTTATGTGTTTGAATGTAGAGTTGGTTTGCTCATTTGTTGTAGAGTGTATTTATATACACATTTTGTTTGACAAATATGGTGACTCAATAACTTTTATATCTTCATTGGAAAGTAGGGCAATTATTGTTTGTTCAAACTCCTCTGGAATGTAACTAATCTTTTCATGGCATGACCTTAATTACCTAAACCAGAGTAGTATGTATGGTCCTATAATTACAACTATTAAAGATTGTGACACTTGAATAAAGGAGTAAATGAATGAATGGAGACTATGTCTAGATGAAAATAATCTTGTGGATAGGATGTTAAAAAAAGCTTTAAAAAATTAAAAATTATTATCTATTCAAACGTTAGTGTGTTTTGCTTGTAATAATTGTACGTAGGGTGACCTCTTCAGAATTTCCTTAGAATGCATGTAAGTTAGGACAGAACATATTGAATGACTCGTGTTGATCTGTGGAAATAATATTCTCCTCCTTACAATCAAGGAATAAGTAACGTGACTATATCGCAGGAATATTGGGAAAGAGTCATCTCTATTGTATAAATTCTCTCGAATGCCACCTCAACTCAAAGAGTTATGTCAAACAACACAGCCAAGAGCAAAATAGACATCAACACAGCAAAAGGGCAAAATAGATATTTAATAAAAATTTAACCGTAAAATAGGTAGGTAAGATTGTAACATTGTAGAACCATCCCTTTTTTTTACCTAAATATAGTTTAACTATTAAGACATATATTATCCACCAAAAGATTAAATTTACATTCACTACTTATCTACTAGATCAATATATATATATATATATATATATATGAATTCTTTCCCTACAAAAATAAATAATAATAATAATAATAATAATAATGATTTAATAATTTAAAATAGCTATTAATAATAAAATAATTTTTTTTATAATTTAGTAAAAAAAAATGATAGTTTTGAGCCTCCATATCCATTAAAAAAAATAAAAAAGACTTATTTAATTTAATTTTTTTTTGTTTGAGTGCTAGTCTTATTTAAATCAAAAGTTCTTTTAAATTAAAAAAAAATGTATTATTATGCCGCAAATTTAATTACAAATGACCTTGCGATTGTTTCGAGAACTCTCGAATTATGTTCCATCCGATTATTTTTTTAAATAAAAAAATATGTATTTTTATTAATAACTAATTTATGTTAATATACGAATTGAATCCACCAACCTATCCACAAATAATGTCATTTATGATTAAAAATAAAGATGGATGAGAAAGTGTTGAATCAAATTATCAATTATTTACTATAACAACCTACGTATTGTATTTCATAATAATATTCCTTTCTAACAAAAATACTATATTTCATCTAATATTTTATTGATGATGTTACAAGTTATGAAACGTCAATCTTGTAAGACCACGATTTGGTAGCTTATAAATTAAATTATATCGAAATTAGTAGTTTAATCGTTAAAAAACATCGGACCGAATATACATATTTACTTTCTCTACTTGCAACTTTTCTAGAAGTAGCTGAATTTATTTTATTATCACACATTATATTAATAGGTCAAGTTAGCTGTTCAAATTAAGATAGGTGAGAAGGAATGAAATGGAGAATTATGCTAAAAAAGTTGTATCCATAGAGGCATCAAACCATTTTATTTAATGGAGAACCAGAATTGATCACTTTCTAGCGATCATGGAAGCAACAACAACAGCAAAAATAAAATAGTTACAGGGGATTGGTTGAATTCATAGAGACATTCAACCGTTTTATTTAATAGAGACCGTGATAAAAACGAGAATTAATCATCTTCTAGCAATCATGGAAACAATAGCAAATATAGTTAAATGGGATTTGTCCAATTGGAACACATTCAGATGTTGATTTGGGAAACTTTTGTAAACATCTCTCGCTACAGTCTTTAGGTACGCATCCTTCGTACAACTTCTCTTCACATTGTATTGCATTGATCGACAACATGCATGCAGCTGTCAAAAATCAAATAGTTATTAAAATGGAATTCTTGAAAGTTCATAAGATGTTTCTAAATCTAAAAAACAAACCTGAGAAAAGGAGGAAACCAATAAAGAATAGGGAGCAAGAAAACTTTGTCATTTCGTATAAAAAGCAATGATACACTGAAATTGATTTGTGATTGAAAGATGTAGGATACTTTCATTTTTTATCTAAGATTTATATAAAAATATTTGGTTTCAAATAAGGCAACCTATTCAGTTAATTTGTCTTTTATTTGGAAAGTAGCCAATTATGATAAGTTACTAACTTTTTTTCTGTCTTGGATGGAGAGTCATTAAGGTTATTATGTCAATATCATTATTTGTTACATTAACAGGTATTTTATATATTTACTATATGGATAACGATGTGAATTCGTTGAATAAATAAGTAATTTAATAATTTAAAATATTTAATAATAATAATATAATAACTTTTTTTAATTAATAAATATGTTGCATATATTTGTATTTCACGACTCTAATAGTGAAGTCACTCACTAAGTATTTCTTAAAGTACTTAAGTCATGTGATATGTCTACGTTTCAGATAAAAGCAAGACATCCTTCTACGAATAACGGAAGTGACCCATGAAGACCATGGAGCCGGTGTTGGGGTAGTTGGTTTTCATCTTATTTTATACACACTCTTTACTAGCAACCAAATGACAAATTGAATAACAGGAAAGTCACCAACCATTTTATTTAGGAAACGTGTGGACTTTTAGGGCATTACAATATGTGGATTAGTACAAGGAAAAGAAGAGCATCACATCAAGCTCAATTTTCTTCACAAGGGAAGAAACAATGGCAAGCAAAGTTGGTGGGAAATTTAGGAGTTTCAACACATGAGATGTTGAATTTGGGTAAACCTCTAGGCACTTTTGGTGACATCCAGTGGTGTTGCATGCATATTCGAACATCTTCACATCACATTGTTTTGCATGGGTTGCTAGAGGCACAATCCAACCAGCTGTACAAATTTTCAAAGTTATACATGCTTTAATACCCATCTAGGCTTACAACACAAAACTTAAAGACATCTAAACAACCATACGTACCTGAGAGAACCAGGACAAGAACAAAGAGGGAGCAAGAGAAATTCGCCATCTCCTAAAATATTAGTGTTATAATATACTAAATTTAAGTGTTTGAATGTAGAGTTGGTTTGCTCATTTGCCATTGTACAGTCCGTATTTATATACACATTTTGTTTAACAAATATGGTGACTCTATAACTTTTATATCTTCCTTGAAAAGTAGGCCAACTATGGTAGCTTCAAACGCTTGTGGAATTAACTAATCTTTTCATGGAATGACCTTAACTACTTCGACCAGAGTCATGTATCGTTATATAAATTACAACTATTAAAGATTGTGACATCTGAGTAAATGAGTAAATGAATGAATTGAGACTATGTCCGGAAGAAAATAATCTTGCAGATAGGATGTTAAGAAAAGATTAAAAAAATTAAAAGTTACTGTCCATTCTAGTGGGAAGTGTGCTTTGCTCGTAACAATTCTATGTTGGGTGATCTGTTCAAAATTTTCTTAGAATACATGTAAGTTGGGATAAAACATGTTAGAATGGCTCGTGTTATTTGTTTTCTTTGTAGAATTTGTTTCACTTCTTTGTCATCGACCTTTGGAGCTTAGGCACTGTTTCAATCTTTTGTGAGTTATACTTTAGTAGATCTTCCAATTTTGTGGGCATCGTTTTTGTAACGACCCAAAATGTTCTACTTAATTTAAGGTCGCTACTGTATACGTACCATAAATATTGAATGTGGAAGACTTCGTTAAAATTCCATAAAACATAGCCTTTATCTTAAAACACAGTCATGGACTTACGTGTTTCGAAAACATCTTTAAAACAACACAACAAAAGACTAAATCATTGCAATAGTTAACAGTATTCTTTTTAGTTAACAGTATTCTCGATTTCCATCTCTATTTGGTTTTTTTTCTTATTTCCTTTGTCTTCCTTCTGATTTAGTTGACAATGATGTTCTTAGTTTTTAATTTAATCGATTCATTTGGTTATATTCTTTTTCTATAATTCATATAAAATTATTGACAACCTAAATCATTGCAACAGTAGATCTAAAATATAATTGGTTGTGATTTCCTAAAACTCATAGAAAATTCTTTTCATTTAATCTCTAATTCGGAACTAAATAATTGTAACCAAACTAATACTACTTAATAAAATAAAATGAAGATTTAACATAGGACTACTACTGACCTTCAAATGAAGAAAAAGAAAAAAAAAAAAAAAAAAGAGGTCGGCCGGCGAGCGGCAGAGGGTGGCGTGACAGGCGCCGGATGTCACATTCGCACTTTTAATGGCAACGGACTTGCGATTGTGCGGCACTAACTTTCCAACAACAAGTGAGCTAAGCCAATTCATTCTTGTGTCGCCTACGGCCAAGCGACGTATGCTCGAGCCTCTGGCCTCGATTTTAAGAGAAGGTTTTAGAAAATGAGGGCAGAGAGAGATTTTCAAAAGAGAGATTTTTGAAAGAGACGTTCTATAAGCAAGCAAGAGAGAAACAACAATGGCTTACACTATATAACCTTGGGTAGGGAGAAGTTGACAACTAGTCGTATCCCCCTATAGTACATTTTGAGGTATTTCATGTGTGACAGGCCTAGACATGATATTTCTGAAACGTCATACTTCCTAGAAATACAATAGTAAAACACTAAAATATGTAAGGACATAAAGGGTTGGGCTTGTCATGGGCATGCGGCCATGGGCAACATGCCTTGGACGAGCATGACCGTGACATCCTCCCCCACCTAATTAGTTGACGTCCTTGTCAGCCGACTACTTTCGAACCTGGCGATGTGGGTGGCGCTGGAGTCCAGATCTTCGGCGTGTTCCCAGCTAGTTTCCTCCGTAGGGAGATTCTTTCATTTGACAAGGAATTCAAGAATCGTTCGTACGGGTCTTCCTATCTTCCTAACTCTGTTGGCTAGGATCTCTTCTATTTCTTTGCTGTCTCTTTGTTTCAGATCAATGCTCGGTCTAGTGATTACATTTCGCTGGTCGTCATCCGGGTCAGGGTGATAAGGCTTCAAGTTGCTCGCATGAATTACTGGGTGGATTTTCATCCATGTGGGTAGCGCAACTTTGTAGGAGGTAGCCCCGATCTTTTTAAGGACTTCAACCGGGCCTTCATATTTTTGAACTAGTTGCTGGTTCTTTCAGCTGCGAAATCTGATGTGTTCTTGTCTCAACTTGATGAGGACTTGATCTTCTGCTCAGAATTGAAGGGGGCGACGCTTCTTGTCTACCCACTTCTTCATATGCTTGGAAACTTTCTCTAAATATGCTCAGGCACTGTTGTCTGCTTCCGTTCTCTTGGGAAGTTTTGAGCTTGAGAATTTTTTCCTGCATAATGATGATCAATAATATGTGGTAAGGTCGTTGTCGTCCACTTACAATTTCGAAGGGACTCTTCCCCGTAGACGAGCTCGTTTGACAATTGAAACAGAATTGGGCAACATCTAGCAATTGTATCCAGTTCTTCTGGCGAGCATCGACGAAGTGACGTAAGTATTCTTCGAGCAAGCAGTTGAACCGTTTCATCTGTCCATTAGTTTGAGGATGGTAGCTCGAAGAGATGTTTAAAGTCGTTCCCAAGAAGGCGAATAGTTCGGTCCAAAATATGCCAATGAATCTACAATCCCTATCACTGATGATGCTCGACGGAATGCCCCATAACTTGACGACGTGTTTGAAAAATAGTTGGGCTATTAGTTCAGCTGAGCATAATTTGGGAGTGGGAACAAACGTCGCATATTTCGATAACCGATCTACGATAACCAAGATGGCGTCATATTCTCCGACTTTTGGGAGGTATGTTATGAAGTCTAGAGACACACTTTCCCAAGGTCTTGTTGGCACAGGTAGAGATTCCAAGAGTCCCGAGACTTTGGCTTTCTCGACTTTGTCCTATTGGCAGACGAGGCATGTCTTGGTGTACTGCATGATATCGTCCCGCATATTCGGCCAGAAGTATCCCTTTTTTATTAGGGTATACGTTCTTTGCCACCGTGGATGTCCTGCTCATAAGGTATCATGACATTCCTGAATGAGCTTCTTCCTCAGTTCTCCCGTTCTTGGGACGTAGAATCTGTTTCCTTTAGTCATTAGAAGGTCTCCCTCGACCCAAAACTGTCGTGTCTTCCCAGCTTTAGCTAGTTCGACGACGGCTTTGGCTGATGGGTCTTTGTGTAAATGTTCTTTGATGATGTCGCGCATCGATCTATCGATCTTACTTGAATGAATAAGGGTTAACATGCATAGGGCCGCATGTTCGCCCTTCCGACTCAGTGCATCGGCTGCTTGATTACTCTTCCCTACCTTGTGTTCGAGTTTGAAGTTGAATTCCGCCATCGACTCTTGCCACCGGGCTTGTTTTGCCATCAATTTTGGTTGATCGAAGAAGTGGCAGATGGCGCTGTTTCCGTCTTCACTATGAACTGTGATACCAAGAGATACTGTCTCCAGACTCGTAGGCAATGAACTACAACCAGCATTTCTTTTTCGGAGACAGTGTATCTCCGTTCAGAATCATTGAGCTTTTGACTTTCATAAGCGATGGGGTGGCCTTCTTGAATAAGGACACCGCCTCAGGCAAAGTTGAAAGCATCTGTTTCTATTTCAACTCGCTTTGTAACATCTACTAACCCGAGGACAGAACCCCTCGTCATGGTTGCCTTCACATCTTCAAAGGTCATTTGACATTTATTTGACCGCGACCAAGGGTGGTCTTTCTTCGGGAGCTCCATTAAGTGGGCGGCTCGTCGTGAAAACCCTTCGACGAACCGCCTATAGTAGTTTGCTAATCCTAAGAAGGACCGCACATCGGATACGAAAGTAGGGACTTTCCATTCTTGGATAGCTTTTATCTTATCGCTATCCATCCCGATTTGTCCACAACTGATGACATGTCCGAGGAAGTTAATGCATGTCTGTGCGAAGGCACATTTTTCTTTCTTGATGTACAACTGATTCTACCGCAGCTTGTCAAATACCAGCTTCAAGTGCACCTTGTGTTTCTCTAGGGTTGTGATTATATAACTATGTCGTCGAGGTATACTATGACGAACTGATTCAAGTATTCGTAGA